AGATATTCCAAAAATTTCCCGGGATTTGTTGTCAACATCCTTAACTTTCTTAATAAATAAGTCAGCAAACGCATTCTGATTTTTAACAGAAATGAAATGGAAACAGGGTGCACCAAGTTCTGAGTATAATTTTCCAATCTTTTGGTTTTGCTGCAGTCTTTTAAATCATGCTTCTGAAGCCATCTGATATAGCAGCCTGGGAATTTTTGTGTGCCAGGAACTGATACCATCTTTGTGCCTTGCTATTTATTAATTTCATTTCCTAGAATCTTCTCATAGAGTAGCAGCTGCTGGATTGTCTATAGATTTACTAGCCCCTCCTCACTTTGAGTAGCATTGTGTTGATGAATGAAGTAGATCAGCTAGTTTCAGTTCTAGTCTCCCACTTCAGATGTCAATCTGAAATTCTAAACTCCCTTCTGCATAATTGGCTTGCATGGTGGGGTTAAGCCCTAAACAAGGTGATCCTGGAAGGAATGGAAGAATTTTCAGAAAAAAACATAATGAAAAAAATTGAAAAGATAGACCATAGGTAGGGGTTTTTCAGAGTTTATCTATGCTACTGTAGTTCAGCGGTTGAGTGGGGGTGGACAAGAACTCATCAGCCAAGAATTCTAAGTAACTATCCAAGATACAAATCCTAGAATTCAATAAAATGAAGTCATGGTGGTATGCATCTGCTGTAATGCATACCACCATGCAGAGATACACTTCAGTCAGCATGCTATGGTTAAATATCTACATTTGTCCTCTTCGACTTCCCTTGTCTTTCATATTCTTTACTGTTTCATGTTATACTAAAATGAATCCCAAAGTGACCCAAGTAGATACAAATATTTTGCTACAGCAAAACCTCCACCTTATGGTAAACCATTCTTTGGGTGCCTGTGGAGAGAATGGGAAGAAAATTCAGCAAAATATGAAACATTTTTTATATAGACGTCGTTGTTGGATTTATACCATGAAGCACTGAGGATTTTGTTTAGTGTGATATTTTGATGAAGACAGTGAACTGTAACGTGATTCTATTTTTCATCAGATATGGCCTTTGATGGCTGCTCAGTAGTGTACTTTCTCCATAATGTTTGCTGCCTTTTGGAATGTTATATGCTTTGTGTGTGCGTGTGTGTGCGCATGCGCCTTCAGGTCATACGTTTTCTTATGGCAGCCCCATGGTTTCTGTAGGATTTTCTTAGGCAAGGAAGACTCAAAGATGGTTTTGCCACTGTCTTCTCATGAAATACATCGTATAGCACCTGATGTTCTTTGGTGGTCTCTCACTCAAGTACTAACAAAAATTCATCCTGCTTAGCTTCCCAGATGTGATGTATTAAAGAGCAGTGCTGCTCAATTTGAAAACTGAATTTTGATATTTTAAGAAATCTTGGCTTGTGTATGTGGTAGAGCTGTTTTAGGAGACACAGAATCTTAAAGACATAAAACGGGAATACCTTACACCGTTTAGTCTTTAAGGTGAGGTTTCCTGAAAACCTAGAGTTCTGGAAGAAGCTGCTAGCTAGAGATAAGAGATAAGGAAGCATGGCCAGAAAAACATTTCTTTTTGTATTGAGGTATAATATTTTTTTTATCCAGAGGCTTCCTGAGACTTGACATTTACTTCATTGGTTCCTTCAGGGCAAACAAGTTTAAGAAAGACTGCTGTAAGCTGTAGGAGGATCCTTTTTAAAATGCAAATTTTGTTGAATGTGGTTTCATTTATGCGCAAAGAGCTTTGAATACTATTAGAATTGCTCTGGAGAATCTAGCAATGCCTGGAGAAGTGTTCTCTCTCACCCTCTAGCATGATTCTATGGTCAAATTTTACTGAAAGTTCTGCCATATTTCCTCTGGAAGTTGACCATACTCTGACAAGAACCACACTAGACACCTAGAGAGAACAGTTCTCTAGGGATCATTAGATGCTCCAGAGCAATTATATGGAAGTCCAAGGCATTGTTCATTTCAGGTACCAAAAACAGTATTCCTAATATGCAGGCCTAATTTTGTTATCTGTTGTACACCATCTTGAGATATCATTGGCTCTAGGACGTCATGCAGAAATTGATTGTTCTTAATACTACTTTATATATTCATCTATAAAGCTAGAAGATCAACCCACAAAACCCGGGTTTACTTATCCATGAGTCAGTATAACACTGCACCTTACTTATCAAAAAGGGAATCGTTCCCTTCTCTGAGTAGATTGTCAAAAGGCAAGTCTTTCCTGGGGGTACCGGCCACCTCTAATCTCTCTCTACTGTTTATTTTTAAATATTTGTGTGGGGAAATGGCAGCGGCAGGCTGATCCAATGGTCCCCTGAGGCAGCAATAGAACTTTCTCCTTTCTGTGAAATGACTCTCAACTTATCCTCAAGTCACTAATTATCCCAAAAATATAAAATATAAAAATATAAAGTATCCTCAAAATAAATAATTTTGGACAAAATAATCTGTCCTAGACTTACACACGAGTATACACGGTAAATGATTACAATGCTTAATATTAGGGATTGGCCTGAGATTTTGGAGTATGTTTCTTTGAACTGTTTGCAACGTATATTAGCAGGGCCACTGGAAATTGTAGACAAACAAAATTCCAGGCTCTCAATTTTTAGCAAGATGCCCTCTGTTATGGTGCTGCTTTTATGCTGTGTGTTTGAAGCATTACTTAGAGCCTACTATAATGGCAGGGCCATGTTCTGTTTAGTAAATTTAGGTGACAAGTTGAGGCATTTCAAAAAATGCAGTTTATTGTCCCATAGCTCTATTTACTGTCTGGGGCTAACTACAATAACAAATCAACTGTAGCGATTAACCTACGAAATATTGCGCTAAATAAACACAGGTGCAGGTCTGTTAAAAAAGGAAGGTACGACCTTTAACAAGTATGCATATTTAACGCTTGAAATCTGTTCTCTAAAGCACCATAAAGCACAACAGCAGGTTTCTAAAGTATTCTTTACCACCTTTGGCCCATGATGTGTTAAGGATTTAATTGCCTTTTGAAATCTATAAAAAAATTGCATTGTATTTGAAGCCAATTTAATATTTCCCATAGGAAGATATTAGGTCTCCAATGGCAAATAAACTAAGTAGACATTGCAGAGAGATAATATTTACAACTAAGGTGTTGATGCTATTCAGCTTTATATTACAATAAGCTTTTTTTTTAAAAAGGTGCCTATTCCCATACATTTTTTATGTGGGTGAGTAGTCCCTTCCCATACACATCCCATACCTTTCTGTTGGCAAGCTAGTTATTTTCGTGCTGCCAACAAAGAAAAGGTTGTGAGAATTTTGGATGTCCAAGAAATACCCAGCATTCTTGTGTCCAGCATTCCCACTCACAATATAAAATGGGGCCAATATAACATAGGTACAAAGGTACCATATGGAACTTCTTTATTTCATAAAACAGTGCCATAACTTTTGAGTTCATGGGAGGTGTACATTAATTTTGGACAATAGAATAACCAAAGGTGCTTTACAATTTAGTGTTTTGACTGTTTTATTTCATTTTAGTGCAACACCAGATTCTGAATAAAAATTCCATCTTTACAGCTGGGGTGGAAATTGTGCAGCTTTCCATTTGTCATTGAACTGGAACACCCATCAATGTAGTTATCATAGCCAATACTGAAGAATGCTGGAAGTTATACTTCAGTAACTTCTGGAGGATCATGTAGTCCCTTTCTCCACTCTGATTTATAGAAAGCTTTCATACTTTCTGTGTAGCCTGTCATCATGTAATGAGGAAATACACATTTGTATATTTAGTGTCTTGGATATGAGGTCTATCAAACGAAAATAGGCTGTTTGTGGGTTTTCATGTAAAACTTGAAGTGGGCATGTTAAACTGGGAAAATTGACAACTGAATACTACTGTAAGGCCCACAGCCATTGAAAGATATACTCAGAAGCAGTATGATGTGTTTCTCTCATTGACTTGCCAGCACACTGCATACTCATAGGACCAAATCCAGTGGCTAATCCTAGCTAGAGGAGAATTTAGTCAGCACTTATATAGGTTCTGCTGCTTCAGTGAGTCTACTTCATGTGGGATTACAAAATTGATGTCTTCCTTGTAATTCATTAAGTGATATAGACTGAGTGAGTTCCACACTTTCAGAATCAGAAAACCCTTAGGGCCACCATATGTCTGAAACACGTTGAAGCACATAATAACAACAAAGAATCTGCCATAAATTGCAACTGTGTGATACTGAGAAGTTTTGTAGTCTCAAAAACAGAGCTGGAATATTTGGTTGGAAATTAATTTGTTAATACTGAGTTTAAGTAACTGGAAGATTAATTTCTTGACACTAATATGGGTATTGGAAATCATTTCAGTCTTTGAAGTGATGCTAATTAACTAGTTGGTTAAAATGTTAGTTTTCAGAACAGAATGTCATAGAAGTTGTCATCCTGGATGCCTGAAAGAACATTTTGTTCTTGGCTCCTTATGACCCCCCCCCCCCCCGTTCCATTCTTACATTCCAGGCAATGTTTCACCATTGTTTGATTTCTGACATACAAGCATCAGGCAGATACACACTAGTCAGCAGATAATCATATTATGCATTTTGTCCCAATCCTGGAGCCCTCCTCTTTTACTGAATGTGGCAGAAACAGATAACCACCTCCTAACAAATTCTTACAATGTATGTAAAATAATCTGTTTGCTAAAGTGTGCAATTGACTTCAATGTTAAACATATAACCTAGTCTAGGAAGCATTCAACACAGTCAAAAGCAAAATTTCGTGAGGAGATAACATACTTTAACTTTTGAAAATATAACCTTAGTTAAGTGTTTTCTGCCAGTACTCTGAGCATTGTAATGAAATAATATTTTGAAGGCAGAGCTTGCTAAGTTCAACATTTATTTCAGCATCATGGTACTGCAACACAATGTTCCCCTGTTCAATGTAATAATCTCTTAAAAGCATATGCCAAAATTCTGCTTGTATCTGAACTTCTCTTTTTATACCTTCCCCAACAGTGTTTTCGAGCACTTTGCTGCAAAGGACCTCCGCCACCACGGCCAGAGTATGACTTGGTTTGCATAGGTCTCACTGGCTCTGGCAAGACTAGTTTACTATCACAACTCTGCAGTGAAAACAGAGAAAATATAGTGTCAACAACAGGTAACCAAATGTTTAATATAATGTCCTAAACTACTGCTATCATTCAAAATCTTGGCAAAACTAAATGATTTCTTTGAACCCAAATAGAAATTTAGTTTTAAATCATGATTAAATTTCATATGTAGCCCAATTTATTTTCTAATTAAGAAATAATAAATCAGAGATTAAACTTAAGTGATAAAATACAGACAGTTAATGTCAGGTATATTGTTTCATAAACTTGCCCATTATTCTGATTTTACCTTTCTACTAACCTACCTGGCCTTTACATCTGAAGGAAACTTAAAATAGAACTAGTGCTCAGTGTCAAAGTAGACTTAACATCCTAATATTTTTCAGATCTCTGCATTTTATTTGTTTGTTTACTTGTACAACTAGAGCCTGGAATGTGGTTCCAGGCTCTAGTTGTACCCCACAACCATGTTCTTCAGCTTTAGTATAGTCTGTCCTAATAGCTGCGAGGAGAGAAAAAAATAGAATTACTGTAGTTTCATAAAATCATAAAATGTCTCTTCTTCAAGTTATAACAATTTTATGGTAATGACTTGTATTCATTGCAGTCTCAAATAGGTTCACCCCTGTGTCACTGTTCAAAATCACAGATGCACCCGGTTCCCCCAACCACACACACACAAAAAAAGATCAGCAGTGTTTGGAACTCCCAAGTAAAGCTCCAGAACTTTATCCAATTTGAAAGATTTCATGTTAAAATGATCTTTTGAATGAATGAGAAAAAAACAGGAGGATTTTGTTTCTATTTCTAAATAAATAAATAAATAAATAAATAAATATTTCATTGTGGTGTCAGGCTTTATGAATATTTAACATTGAAAGGTGTATACACCCTCTTCTAGAGGCTGCATTTCACAATGAGCCAAATGAAAGAAAGAGAATCATTGGGCATTCTTCCCAAAGACTTTCAGTGAACATAGACAATGTAATCTGGTACAAATGCTTAGGATTTTGATTCAATAATGTACATACTATCAAATTATTAAATTGTAAAGAGAGATTTCTTTGGATGACTGCACAGCAGTGTTGGTTTATTTATATAAGACAAACTTGTTTGGTATGACTTAGGCAGATGTCCCTTCTTACCAGTATATGATGTAGCCATGGCCAAAAACAAAAAACCACAATTGATGTCTGATGTAATAAAGTTGAGGAGATGATGCAGAATTTTAGTTTGAGGTCTAAAATGTACACTAATTTTGGAAATATAAGAATTGAAGAAGAAAAAAAATAAATATCTGCATATGAAGTCATGATTTGTAAGGGTGGGCCATAGAAGTGCTGTAGGCAATGTTGTAATTCACCCAGTTTGCAACGTTTTGATGGAGCTAGTTGTTAAAATCGCTAAAAGGTGCAGAGGGCAGGGAGGTTAAAAGAGAAACCAGGAATAGCAAAGGGGAAGAGGAAGAAGAAATTGAACAGATGAGGAGGATGAAGAGACAAAAAAAGTCAGAGGAAGGGGAAAACTGGATCCTCCAGAAGCAGCCACTTGAAGTAATACAAGTAATAATGATAAATGAGAAATGGGAGATGCTGGAATTTAAGACTGAAGCATTGGATACAAAGAAAGAAAACACTGACAATTTCTAAAGATTCAGATGATTTCTGAAGGACCCTCAGCAATATGTAAGAACGAAATTTGTTGAAACCTTGGCAGGTTTTTTGGAGAAAGGAACAAAGGAAATACATGTTGAGATCGAAAAGGTTTATAAATAAAGAAATTTGTCAAGAGATGCAATTGTTTTATTCCCTCAGAAAGACGAGAAGTTAAATTCTCTAGAAACACCTCAAGACTATGCAAGGCAAAAGACACTTTTTGGCAAAAAAACAAACAAAACAAAAACTGAAACAGAAGACAATCCCATTTAGATGGGAAAACTTTGAAGATTTGAGTTTTATTTTTAAAAGTCAAAAATTCTGAGTGGACTTGGTGATAAAAACGGGATTTTGTAGGAAATAACACCAACTGTTATTGAATTGTGAAGATTATTTGTTGACACTTGGTACTGCTGCTGGAGACTCTTCTGATTAATTGACCAGTGATAGATTACAATTTTTTTTTCTGAAACATAAATGAAGCTAATGCTCAATAGATAAGAGGATATATGTTGGATTAATAGAGAGAACTAAAGTTGGATATAAGATATGTACATTAGAAAGAGGATATACAACTTTTAACACAGAGGAAGGGTTATGAATTGTGATTATGTGATTTGTTCTATGTGATTATGTAATTTTAATTAATATCACTGTTTAATTGTTATGTAATAGGATTTTATATTGTTGGTTTATATTGTTGTTATTGCTACTGTTGGCATTGAATTGTTGCCTGTGTTAGCCGCCCTGAGTCCCTTTCGGGGGTGAGAAGGGCGGGGTAGAAATGGTGTAAATGAATAAATAAAATAAATGAATTCCCATAATTTTCATATTTGCAGTTGTTTGAAAGATATAAATAAAACCAAAAAACCCTCTGGTTTTGAACTAAATTGAATTTGAAGTTCAATTATGTACCAATGAAGAACAGATAATGGGTAAAATGTATAAACGTTTTTTTGAGATGGAAGATGGAAAAGTGAAGGATTACATAATAGAATGGGCTATAAATTTTGGGCGTAATATACAAAGGGAGTTAATAGGAAATGATGTAGCAAAACATTTGAAATTTACCCTATGATATGATCTTAAAGAGAACTTTTATAAAAATTATGTACCATTAGTACATGATACTGGAGACATCTAAGATATAGAGAGGAATAAAATGTGTTGGAAATGTAATAATAGTAATAATAATAATAATAATAATAATAATAATAATAATAAACAAACAACTTTATTCTTATACCCTGCCACCATCTCCTCGAAGGGACTCGGGGCGGCTTACATATGAAACAAAATTCCCACAGACACAATACAAACAATTTATCATAGGAAAAACATAATTGAAATGAAAACATGATTAAATATAACAATCCAGATAAAAGCACAGTTCAGTAGAACATAAGAGTATAAAACAGCAGTGTTGAAACTCAATCAGAATAATGTTCGACATAACCAATTTCCAGCAGTGCAATGGGTGTGACCAGGCTGTAAAAGGGCTGAGCATGGGATAGTGCGAACGGAGTATCATAGGACCGGGTATTGGATGAAGTACAGAGAAAAAATTATTATTAGGGGACCTAGGGATTGGGCATTTAAAACGAGGGACTAGCTGTTCTCAGGTGCAAGGTGAAATATCCAGGTTTTCAGATCACTGCGAAACGAGGACAATGTGGAGGCTTGCCTAATCTCCCTTGGGAGGGGGTTCCAAAGCAAGAAGAGTTTCCATCATATGTGGTGGACTTGTGAAAAGGCTAAAAAAATACTGGGTTGAAATACACAGATTGAGGCAAAAAATTTGTAAAGATTAATATCAAGTTACAACCTGAACTTTTTCTTTTGGGACTGATGGATGATCATATAGAAAGGAGCCATAGAAGAATACTTTGGTATGTGACAACTGCTGCAAGTCTATTTATATGCTCAGAAATTGAAAAATGACCTATTACTAAAGGAAACTTGTTTTTAAAACTAAATAATTTAGCAGAAGGGGACAAATTCTTTATTTTATTTAAGTGGGAAAACATTGACAATATTGTTGACAGATTGGCAACACTGATTGTGATTTGAAACTTGTTTTGTTAATTCATTGTAATAGTTAGATGTATAGATGAAATGTAATTATAAATCATTCATGAGTTTAGGAGGCTCTGAATTTTCCATCTAGATATCTGTTTGTATAATTTCCCATCAAACAGAGAATGAGTTATTGCACAACAAAGTATGACACTTCAAATAAATAAATTAGAAATAGAGAAGTGTTCTCTCTTCTTTTTTAAATCTATTGCTTAGATTTAACAAAGGTGCCACGCCATATAATTATGTTTTTTATGTTCCCTCTCTAAAATAATACTTAAATGCCCCCACTTTATTGAAACCAGACACATTTTAATATAAATTTACATTGCTTTGTTTTATATAATTTTATTTAAAAGATCCATGGTTTTAAACAATTCTAAATATTTTTGGCAGCAAAATGGATCTCAAAGGAATGGAAAAAATAGAAGAGCCAAGGATTAGGAAAGGGATTAGTGATAACTTTTGAAACCTTGCCCAAATATTTTAAGGGTCAAACGAGAGAGGAGGAGTACTACTATTTAACAAATATTTTGCCTTGAACAATCACTCCGCTGCATACAAAATACTTACTATTTATTTATTTCTTTTTTCCAGGTTTTAGCATAAAAGCAGTGCCATTCCAGAATGCCATCTTGAACGTGAAAGAGCTTGGAGGTATAACACTATTAATCAACTGCATATCTGACTGGTAGCTTTCAATTTATTTTGTCTCTCTATGATAATAATATTTATGTGTAAAAGTTACCAAGCACCAACAACTGTTAGATGCTACAGACTGGCCAAGTATAAGCCTTCTTGAAGAGTTACAACTAAAAGTAGACACAAAACAATGGCGGGGTAGAAATAAAGTAGGAAAGTAAGTAAGGAAATAAATAAATAAATAAAAATGAGCAAAAGTAAACCAAGGGATGGTTTTTGGAGAGGGCCAAATGTAAGTAAAACAATAGGATGGTGGTTATGGAGTCGAAACTCCAAAGTGTGAAAGCTGCTAAAGTATGGGTAATGCTATAGCAACTGAATTAAAACCTAGAATACCTCAGAGTGATCTGGTTAAAACCACATGCAGATGCTGGTTTGGCTAGGAGTTGAAACCATAAAACCCATGGATATTTGCCTTATTTTCTTAGCTCTAATTTAGCCTGTCTACTCTTCCATCTCATTTGGAAGAAAGACTGTCTTTCCTTTTGTGCAGGGATGTTGGTGAAACTATCTAGGTCTAGGCCTGAGTAGTTAATGCTTTTGTTAAACCTAAGATAAAAATGGTTTAATCCCATGAGAGTTTTCTTAAGTTATAGATTGGTGGTTACAATTGGTTTCCAAGCCTTCAAGATTTCCTGCTAATGACAGCTCAATGCAGATGGATAGGTGTGGCCAAATTAATTTTAATTTCAAACATATTTATTTCACCAGTAAGTGTTTGGGGATATGTTCTAAAGAGAAGTTGGCATACCAGTACTCATAAGTAATCAAAATAAAAGTTATTTGGGTCTAAGACATCCAGATGCCCCCAGCTGGTATATCTGGTGGATTCTAACAGGGGACTCCTGGGAACTGTGTTATAAAAACAACTTTCTGAGCTCTGGGAATAGACTCCATTTTTTATTATTTGAAACTTTGAAACTTTGTCATGCAAACTGACAATAAACATGTCTAGCACAGGGCTAGCTGTCCAGAAGCGCCAAGGGATGTGACATATGTGAATATCCACTACATCTGTACTTGCACTGTACATTCTCAATCACTTATTGATATATTGATTGCACAAATCAAACTACATCTTCTTCTGGCACTATATCTGCAGCACTGCTTTTAAAACATTGGGGAAAAACATCTTGATGTTGGTAGAGAAGTCACTGGAGGGATTGTTTCTGTTCACTGGATAAAGCAAAAGAACCTCAGGGAATGGATAGTAGCAATCATTCTGCTTTCCAGAGAACCTTTCATATTTGACATCACCAAATAATGCAGTCTTGAAGGATGCATTTTTGAAGCCATTACAAGTACCAAAGAACTACAAGTTGCCATAAGGCGGAGTTATTTGTGTATTTAATTGTCTTTTAAACCTAGCATGATTTGAGAGACTATCGAATTATTTTTTAATTTATCATAATGGTGTTGTTTAGGTCAAGAGAAGGCACTGTTGTTGTTGCTGTGTGACTTTGTTTCTGATTTATGATGACTATAAGGAAGAGCTATCACAGAGTTTTCTTGGCAAGATTTAATCAGAGGGGCTTTGCCATGGCTTTCACTGAGACAGAGAGTGTGACTTGCCCAGTATCACCTCGTGGGTTACGACAGCCAAGTGCAGATTGGAATCATGCTCTCTCATAACCCAAAACCCACAGCACTACACCATAATAACATCAGGTACCAAAATTACATATGTTCCCTTGTATCATGCGACTTGCAGGGAGAGTTTTATAGTTTCTCTCAGCACAAGATGCCTCGGGTTGGAGAGAGAGATCTGCTTCAGTAAGCAGGAAAAATGGATGTATGATACATGATTAGCTGAATGTGAATTAAAGTTGGCCTCTTGAGAAGATGTAGAAAAGGGGAGATGCGATTTTGAAAAGATCCTCGTGTTGCATCAGTGGCAATCTTTGAAATGTAATAAGAATATTCATATGTGATGGGTTTGGAGACTGGGAACAACGAACCCTAAAGTATTTCTAGACTGCTGTTATTAAATAATTATGCAAGGGATGAAAAGAATACTAAAAAATACTGAAACAACTGGCTACAAAAACCAACAATTTTTTCAAGTGAAGGCAAACCCTGACAAGAACAGTCCTGGACTTACGAGATTCTTTAAAGTTCAGGATTTTTCTGTGTAAAATTTTTAAATGGTTGTTTGCAATTTCAGCAGGCCAAAATACATATCTCAACAAGTTGACACAATTCATTGCTAGTATAATAGATTAAAATATGAGAATGATGAGATTTTATAGTGATATTTGAGAGTATTTTCAAATGTGGGATAGACCATAGAACTCCGTTGTTGTTGTTTATGTGTATTAAAATCTGTTCAAAATTGCTGCTTGATTTCTTGTTGTTGTTTGATCATCCTTAAAGGGGCCGACAATATCAGGAAATACTGGAGCCGTTACTACCAAGGGTCTCAAGGTGTCATCTTTGTATTGGACAGTGCCTCTTCAGAAGATGATTTAGAAATTGCTAGAAACGAACTGCACTCTGCTCTCCAGCATCCACAATTATGCACTTTGCCATTTTTAATATTGGCCAATCACCAAGACAAGCCAGCAGCCCGTTCAGTACAAGAGGTATGTGTAACACAGAGTGTGTGCCTTGCTAACTGAAAGGAAAATGTCACTGTTTGTGTGCATCTTTGGACAATATTCAGTATCAGTAAGAGTTTGTATGAACAAAAATACTTTTTCTCTACGTCTTGCTTAAGGGGGAAAATATGCTTTTAACTGTCTTTACTAACGAGTTCCTGAATGCTTTGTTGGTTTTTCATGAAAAGTTGGTTCCTCTCCCCCCCCCCCCTCTTTTGCTATTAGTTTAATTTTGTTTTCCTTTTTCTAACAGCCTTAGCACTTTCCTTATTCTTTGCCATTGCTTACATTTTCCAGCAATATGCACACTTTTGTATAAAAGCTTTTATGTTTACTCCCATGCTAATGGCCAGCAATTAAGTTGCACTTCTTGGTTCTAACTTTTCAAAAAATCTAGCACAAAACTCCTACCCTTTGCGGACAAGGTTGTCATCTTCCGTATTTTATATATACATACACACACACACACACACAAGCACGTGTGTGTGCATGCATGAATGAATACACATACAATGTGTGTAGCATATTGACTCCTTAATAGCAAACAGATTTCCTGAGAACTATTTCAAGAGCTTTATTCAATTTTACTGAATTTCTACCATCTTTGTTAAGATCATTATGCTTCTTTGTGTTTGGAGTAGTAGTAAGTTTTAATGAGACTGGCATAAATCCAGTTGCCAATCCCAACTAAAGTAAGATCTATTGAATGTATTGTTGAAGGCTTTCATGACTGGAATCACTGGGTTGTTGTAGGTTTTTGTGAGGATGCTTGCCATAGATGCAGGTGAAATGTCAGGAGAGAATGCTTCTAGAACATGGCCATATAGCCCGAAAAACCTACGACAACCCTAAGATCTATTGAATCACTTGCTGAACAGTTATGTCAATCCATCTGATTTAATGACGATATTCTAATTGTAAGTAGCAGTTGGATTGAAATCCTTGAATATAGTGTCAGTGTTCAGATTGAAATGCTAAATTTTATACGTGTTATTTATATTGTGGTGTATGCTCTTAATTAAAAAAAAATAGCCCCATGTCTCCATACATCATCTTGGCCCACATAGACACTTGGATGTATATTTGAGGATCTGGTTGAAATCTTCTCCATTAATTGGGCCTGTCTCTTTCCATCCCTTGTTTTTGGATTTCTCTCCTGTGTTCATTGTATCACATGTATGCATTTTAGGTACAAATTTTAATGCTTGGATTGGCGTAGTGTCTGTTATAAACATAGAATAATAGAGTTGGAAGAGACCACATGGACCATCTTGTTCAACCTCCCGCCGTGTAATTTTATGTTTTATATTCCTTGTGTGTTCATCTTCACCCATCCAAGGGATATATCATAGTCTTGCTTGCTTAGCATTAGAAGTGTGGAAATATCAGGGATTTGGGGACTATTAGCGGAACCAAAGGGGCCTCATGGTGGCACAGTGGTTAAACCGCCGAGCTGCTGAATTTGCTGACAGAAAGGTTGGCAGTTCGAATCTGGGGAGCGAGGTGAGCTCCCGCTGTTAGCCCCAGTGTTTTGCAACCTAGCAATTAAAAAACATGCATATGTGAGTAGATCAATAGGTACCGCTTCAGTGGGAAGGTAACGGTGCTCCATACAGTCATGCTAGCCACATGACCTTGGAGGTATCTACGGACAACAATGGCTCTTTGGCTTAAAAATTGAGTTGAGCACCAGTCCCCAGAGTTGGACATGACTACACTTAATGTCAAGGGGAAACCTTTACCTTAGCTGAACCCATATACACATAAAATTCTCTGCTAGAGAATTGTAGTGCTATAGTTAATGGGAATGTAATAGAGAAGTGTTTGTCACATGTTGGTCCTTCAGATGTTTTCAAGATCAGTTTCTAGCAGTATCTGTTAGCATGGCCAGTTGTCTTGGATTCTGCAACCTGAAGATGAAAATATATAAAATATCAAATATTAAAAGTCAAATATTAAACTAGAGATCTTCCTAGCAGAGAAGTCTAAGTACTTCACCAGACTACAAATCCCAGGATTCCATTGGATGGAGCCATGACAGTTATAGTGGAAGCAAACTGCAGTGACAGAGTAAATACATGCTGGGTCCCAGAACAGCTTTTAAAAAGAGTTGATTTCCTGTAGACTGAACAGCTGATTGCTCAGAAGCAATGGAATGGAAAGCTAATTCAGACACAGGAGGATGAAGAATTCTTAGTTGGAGACAAATAAGGTCAGACTGTTGGTTAATTCTTGTTTTGTTGGAAGATGTTCTGTGCGTAACTATCAAAAGGAAGGTATTTCCAAAGGTTGAAAATATACATTTAAAAAGGCTTGAATTAACTATGGACTTAGAACCTCTTTAAAAGTATAACATTTTCGTTACTTAGCCAAATGCTCCAAAGTACGGGCTGTGGTATAAAATAAGCACTCTCCTCCTATTTACCTTTTCATTGCAACACCTACAACAAATCAGAGAAATTATTGCAGCAAACAAGCTAGTGCTTCAATTGTGTAAAGTCATTTTCCATCATTTAGTCATTAAAGATGAAAGTAGCAAGAAAGTTAAGAGTGAATTATACTAGTAACAGAAATTATATTTGACCACAAAAGGAGTAAATATCCATTGCTAGTATAAAATTGTAATTTAACTTGTTTATACCTTAGTTACCTAGGAGAAATTACAGCTGATGGTGTGTAGTTTCTTTCAAGCTCTTTGTATTGCATATACTGTATTGTATTTCCATATACTGAAAGAGAATAAGTTGACCTTTTAGCAACAACTTGCCTCTTTTTGAAAAACAGAAATAAGCAGAAATACAGTCTAGAGATTTTTTTTTCAATATGTCTGAAAGTATATTATCACTGAAGGTTTGTGCAATCCCCCCTCCCATTTCTTCTTCTTCACAACAGCCCTGAAGTGGTTGCTTTGAAAATGGGGATTGCTGCTGTTGATGGTGAAAGACAGGAACAGAATTCAAAATTATCTTATCAGATTAGAGAGATGAGCCAAAACCAACAAAATAAAGTTCAACAGGGACAAATGCAAGATACTCCACTTAGGCAGAAAAAAATGAAAGGCAAATATAGAGAGTGGGGGACGACTGGCTCAACAGCAGTACATGTGAAAAATGTACTGTTGTTGGCAGGGGGTTGGACTGGATGGCCCATGAGGTCAAGAGAGAGATTGACAAGCTGGAATGTGTCCAGAGGAGGGCGACTAAAATGATCAAGGGTCTGGAGAACAAGCCCTATGAGGAGCGGCTTAAGGAGCTGGGCATGTTTAGCCTGAAGAAGAGAAGGCTGAGAGGAGATATGATAGCCATGTATAAATATGTGAGGGGAAGTCACGGAGGAGGGAGCAAGCTTGTTTTCTGCTTCCCTGGAGACTAGGACGCGGAACAATGGCTTCAAACTACAAGAAAGGAGATTCCATATGAACTTTAGGAAAACTTCCTGACTGTGAGAGCCGTTCAGCAGTGGAACTCTCTGCCCCGGAGTGTGGTGGAGGCTCCTTCTTTGGAAGCTTTTAAACAGAGGCTGGATGGCCATCTGTCAGGGGTAATTTGAATGCAATATTCCTGCTTCTTGGCAGAGGGTTGGACTGGATGGCCCATGAGGTCTCTTCCAACTCTTTGATTCTATGATTCTAAATGATTTGCAGTTTTGCAAAGCCCCATTGCATTAAACTCTGCATAACAGCCAAGGGGGTTCTGCAACAGCTCTATTTATTTGTGAGAGAGGTACTGTAAGTTTCCCAAAAGCAAAGCCTTCTTCACAATTTTTTTCTCTATATTTGGCATTTTCAAAAACAGCACAGTACATTTTTTATTATTTACCTGACTCATTTTAGGAGGTACTTTTATTTCTAACTTTGACAATTAAGTACAACAATTAGATCCCAAATTGTGTGGTAGCATTACCTTGTCATGTGAGAACAGTATAAACTTACCCTTTGAGAGCTGTACCAACTTTAAAGTGATGGCTTCTCAGTTCTGTGGCTTCCTGCTTCTTGCCTTTGAAAGCTCTGTTACTTTCTTTTAAATGATCCTCTTAACAAATCAAACTAACACTTTAGAAGTGTGCTTCCTTTAACCATATGGTTTGTACTTCTAGACTCCTCAAATGGGAAAAAAAATCCCTTGGGAGGATATTTAATATTTAGTCAGCCAATTCAGACACTCAAGAAGTAGTGATTTAAGACATGTGTTTTGCTCTCAGTGCTCTGCCCATGCTTGTAACATTGCACCCAAATTGAGAACTTTTGCTCATTTATCCTGCATGATTTGTGCATTCAGAATCTCTGGAACAAGATGATCTTCCTGTAGTGAGACTGTGCCCGCTTCAGATGTTACATTAGAAACTAGGCTTTAGAAATATGCTTCTGAAATATCATCTTTTTTCCCTCTCTCTTAATGTCCCTGTTTGTCCCAGTGCAGGTTTTTCGTGTGTGGATGTCTCTACTCTTATTGTTAGAACCCAGATGGGAGCAGCCTAAAGCCACTTTAATAATCAAGAAAGCCTTTATTTACACAATACCCTGCTGTTCGTCTGTGTATGTTGTAGCCTCTCTTCAGTACATTAAGTTCCAGCTCTCAGTCCTGATACATTATTGAACAAGCTGTTGTGATTTTTTTAAAAGGAAAAAAAAAGAAACTAGATAGAAAAACCTGTGTTCTTTCAAAGGGTGGCTGAGGAACAGCAATCTCTTGGATCAAATCAGTTTGGCTTAGATTTATTCATTTTATATCTATATCCATATTGTTTCAGTCTTCGCGCCAAGACCTTAACTATTTTCTTGGCGTCCAAATAGATCAGTTGATGGGGCTGTATGATGAGCAAAGTGTAAGCTCTTTCCCAGTTAATTAAGCATTCCATTTTCTGCTAATTACTATAATGCAGCCTTTGTTTTGAATGGCATCCAGGAACCTTTGTCTGAATKGCTCTATAATGCTGTCTAGGAAGCTCTTATAGATACCCATTGAAAATGTACTCCATTGAAAACC